TTATGTTTATCTTTTCTTAACCGCTAGCTATTTTCACTTTATTATTTCAATGTACAGACCCAAAATGCTTGAGACACTTAAATTCAACTGTTCTGCGCAACAGTCAGTCAGCTCACGGCCGCTGTTGAGAATAGCGAGCATTAGTCATTTTCTGTTAATAAATTTGTAAATAGTTTTAAGTAACATGACGATTTATTAACCCACTGATTCCGATTCCTACTCGCGGCAACTGCCAACTTAGCATTACTTTCCGGCGCAAACAACTGTCATTTAAATAAAATAAAATTCAAGTGATCAATAAATATTTTGTTGAATTGCTATAAAACAATAACTATGACTTTCATGTCCTACAAATTTTGAGCGTGATGTACGGGTGCTGTATTCATTAAAAGTTACTTGAAACCCATTAATTTTTTACGATGGACTACACTTCTTAAAGGTCAATAAGCTTGCATACATTAAATAATTATTATAATTCATTGAAGATGAAATCATTTATTTGTAACTACGATAATTTCATTGCAACACATGTGATATTTTGTTTAGACATAATATTTAGTTATCAACAATTACTATTTGCCATTTTACTTAAAGTAGCAATGATTGCATCACAGTCTGTATCACCTACATTTACCCCTAGATTTTTTTCCGACGTTTTCCCCGCTATTTTCTCAAAATTTAACGTGTTGATCCTATCCTTTTTTTAAATTATAGATTCTTCATAATCTTAACTATGTGTACCAATTTGATGTGTGAGCTCACAGCTTCTCATTTGTTTTGCGGTATGGTAGTCAATTAAATTTAAGGTTTCGTAAGGTTACGTGTTAGAATAATGAATTTGTACAAGCAAATTCCTCAAAAATAAATGTGTTGACCTACCTATTCTTTTTATGAGAAAATCTAGCATAATTTGTTTACATAATCTCTAAATTTCGGAGCTAGCCAGCATTTTATTCAAAATCGCCCAAGCCTTCTTAAATATTTCAATGTACAATGTACCAAAATCTATTGTTTATTTGTCCATCCCTATTCCTGACCCAAAGTGAATGACGCTCAGGTTTTCGGATAAGCCCGAGTGCTGAGAAGGATAAGGAAAGAAGGTTTGCCATACATAAATATGATTATTGCTTACGAGTATAAACGACTGACTTAGCTCTCTGTGATCCCTCTTTCTGACTTAATCACGTACAAGATAAAAGGTAAGTTAGCAAGTAGAAATACAAATGAATAAAGTAGTTTTGTGACTCTAATGCTTGTCGGTAAATTAGAAATTCATACGACCAATAGTATACAAGCGAATGTTGATACATCCAAATCATTGTATCAAGAAGTGCATATGCATAGATGGCGGCACTGTCAATACAAGCACTCTATATCCTCTATCGATGTCCTTTTTTCAATATCCAATATACTTAAGACTCATAATACTAAACTACATAGCTTCTTTTTCAATAAAATTTTCTTAAGAAATAAATAAGAATGAGAAAAATATCGTCCCCGGGTGTGGATCGAACACACAACCTCCTATTTACTAGACAGTTGCTCTACCACTTGAGCTACCGAGGAGCTGTACATTCACTCGCACCGTAAGTTTAGATAAATGAATAAAGGTATAAAAATTGTATCAGTGATAGAAGAGGATGAATTAAATATAATTAATTTTATTGAAATAAATTTATAACCTTCAAGAATAAATGGTGACTCGCATTTTTCTAATGAGTGATCCTCATCCACTGTCTACATTCGTATGCGGTGTACGATTTTGGCGCAAGTTGGCGTATATTAGTAGCTGAAAATCTGTATGACATAATGATATCACTAAACTGATTAAACAATAAAAAGTGCAATGGTACGTGTTCAAGTTCAGACTTCACAACAACAGCCTTAAAATGTCTTATACGTTTACGACTTTAAGCAGGAGCTATGCCTAGTTTCACTAAGAGTCATCCAAGAGTCTTGCATAATTGACTCCAGATATTATAGCTAGAAGTGACCAAGTTTAGAGCTTTGAAAACGTCATAAGTAAATTAAATGACACAAAAATATTCTGTCGGAGCTTTAAATGGAATTCAATGGTTATGTACAGAGGCTTAAAATTTTTAAAGTATGTATTATGTACTCGAAAATTTTTGTTGGTAGTTGACATCAGCCAGTGACATCATAATGTGATAATGGTATCTCTTAAAAAAATGATTAATTGTAATTTTTGAAAGCAAATTCTAATCTTATACAATAATTTGTTACGTGGGAATTGTGGAGTTTCGGGGTGTAAGGGGATTGAATACACGTGGAAAAAAGTATATGTTCGTTTATTAGAGTCTCAAAGCGAGAGCAGTCGCGTGCGTGGCGTTAGGTTGGAGGCTGATCGGAGAGAGAGCGCGCGGGAGAGCTGATAACGCTTGGGCCCGCCGCCGAAAGGTGATCATCATACTCTGTATCCGCTGCTCATGCGCCGTGAGAGGTGAGTCTTGGGCGCGAACTTACAAAGGTTCTAGATACTGTACGTTACAAATTTATGAATCCAAAAAAAATAAATTTTTGGGAACTTATAATGTTACTTTTTGTTTTTTTAGTTTTACTTTTAACACCGGGAAATACCGTCATCCCAATAAATCGACAAAAATCGCGCCTCTTGTAAGTATTCTTGCTGCACTGATACAAGAATATGGCTAAATCAGCTTGAATGCACGGCCACTCTAGCTATTTTGGCCCAAGTAGGTAACTAAAAGGTAGGTCTGCTCAGCAGTACTCTATTTTAGTCGCTAAGAATGATTGTATCGGCTGTCGTTAAACAAAACGCATGCTTTTATGAGAAAAGATTACTTCCCGTATTTTTAACGCTAACGAAGATAATTAGCAGTTTTCGAGAGATAAATTTTGTAAAAAAAATTCTAAAATCTTAGCAGATAAAGGATTTTTACTTATTAGAGTAATAAATTCTTAAAAGGTTGGAGGGCTGAAACATTATAGTACAGACAGAAAAATACATCATACAGTATTTGTGTATCGTCTTAAAAATGTAGGCTAGATTGATATTAATGATTTAAAAAAAATGTTATTAGTATCAACTACAAAATAGTTTCTCAAAATAGACAAAATGTCTTTATAAAAGAGTTGTAGTTGTATTCGATACTGATATTTGTATTTAGAATTAATATAATATCTGTCCATTCACTAACTTAGTGATTTACAAAGTTCCTCATAACAAATTAACTAGTAGACTCCTTTTATAATAAGTTCATGATAAATTTTTTTTTTCATAATTCACATCATTTTACTTCAAGAGAGTAAAAAGGTTTTGATGCGTAAGGCTTTTACGCACATTTGGCGTAGTCCCTACCATGCCTTTTATAGTAGGTAATTTACACACTATATACGCCTGCTACATGCGTGTCTGACGCATCGAGTTGCTTCATGCATAAATTGCACGGAACCACTGGATTGTTCGATGACAGGTGATTGTTTAGCTGATCAGACTTTTCTTTGCAGATGTGCGTGGAAGGAAAACACATTACGTAAATCACCTTCTTAAAAAGGTGTGGTGAGGATCCCGTCAGATGTGTACGAAGTATTCTACACTAAGCACATTTTTTTTTTTCTGTTCACTCATAACATTTCAACATTAAGCCTATTTTACATCGTACTGTTCAATTTTTACAAAGGTGCTACATGACAAATATTATTTGAAAGGTTAGAAACAATCATAATATTATTGTTTAATATAATACTATTATAAATTTAATAAGGTGTTATTGTTTCCAAACATTAAAAACGAAGGATCTGTTCTTATGACGGAAATTGAGCTAGGCTACTAATTATTCTAGTTATAGGATCCTTATAAAGAAATTTAATATTACATTTTGACCAAAATAAAGCTGTGTGAATAAATGCACATTGTATAATTCTCTTAGCCTGGGATTCAAAAAAAAAAACTGTGTTCGATATGCTCACACAATAACATATCGGTCATTCTGCTGATTTCTCAAGTTATTGTGACATAAGTGATTTATTTTTGCGCTATAAATCTCTATTACTCAGGTAGAACGTGATATATAAACTCAATTTTCTCTTGATAGAAGTATCAGCTAAAACGCAGGTAAATGTGGACGTAGTATCAGTTTTCTAAATGTTTTAATTAGAAAGATTTATAAGATCCATAAAAATAAACTTTTTAGCTACAAATTAGGTTGAACATAAGTACAAAATATCGTATCCTTAATATTATTTTTTAAGCCTGAAAAAGACAGAAACGTGTAATGGATGTGCTAGCTCGATCTCTCTACCATCAATTGGTTACTTAAAATATGAAAGCTCCAAAAAATTAAAACATCGGTAAGCTTTATGAAGTTAATTTTTCCACTTGCAAATCAATTTTTTAAGCTACTAATTATTATAATAGTAAGATCATTTTTTGAATGGAAAATACGCGGATACACAATATTTTATCTTCTGGCGTAATTTTACGACTACAGATATATTGATTTTTCTAAATCTATAGTCTATAGAAAAGTGATTTTTCTACTTCCAATTTACCGCGAATAAGCTACGAAACACAATATTTACTCAATTTTTTTTAATGAAAATCAATACATATCTTGACGTGTTTATGAATTGCTAGCCATTGTATTGAGCTAGCAAATCATCTAATTCCTAGAGATTATCTTTTCTTTAAAATTAGTTTTTCCACTATAAAATAAGTAAAAATTAACTCCTAATTACTGATACATTCAAGTGTGGGAAAAATTTATTCGAAATAAGTTGAAAAACGTACAAGCATGAAAGAGACACGAAAAAAATGTTATCAAAAAAACAATTTGTCTAATCTTTTTTCCAACAACAAGTTAATTTTTTTATATACATTTTATGGTGTTACTGGAATAATCTAGAATTTATAATCTTATTCTTTGTAACATAACCATTTGTGAAATAGATTCAAACTATTTTTTCAACGAAATAAATTTATCAGGTATTTTTTTCAAGTCAAATTATTGTCATTGCAGAAATAAGGCGATTGCAGAATATCTGAGTGCAAACAGCTATCAAAATGCCCTTGAGGCCTTCAAAAAAGAAGCCGATATGCCCGGTGAAGTCGAGCGCAAGTATGGAGGCCTTCTGGAAAAGAAATGGACTTCAGTTATTCGGCTACAAAAAAAGGTAATAAAGCATTAGCCACAACTTTTATTTACTTAATACTGATTACCGACTACTCTTAGAGTCGGGTGTAGACAAATTGGTCCCCAAATTTATAAAAAAAAGTCAAATTGGCTCCCATTGTTCATTGAGTCATTGGGGCTTATGGTTTAATTGGTTCTCGAGTCATTGAAGCGCGTGGTTAAATTAGTTCCCATTCACCTAACATATATATTGAGGGAAAATATCGAGTAGTACAGCACTTGGTTGAAGCGATACATGTTTTCAATATGAGCATAACAATTAAAATTGAAATCAACGTAACGTAAAAAAGAAATGTATTCTTAAACCGTTTAGAAAAACAACAGGTCATTCAACTTGGTTGTAAATGTAAAGATTCTGAAATAGGCATTTTTAAAGCTTTTTTGGCTTGCCTTTTTTAAATCCTGACATAGTGGATGAATGTTTTACTGAACATTTGATGACTATAATGCCCAGTGATGCGAAAGTCACTAAATTTTATGACTTCCTGCAACAACTTGGGCTCAATTTTTATCTTCGATCTGGCGTACTACGAATAATTGTGAATCTTTTCATACGCATCTAATTGAAATATTTTATACATCAAATCCAAACATTATCGAATCTGTAGAAGAGCTGAAATCTATGCAATGTGAAGTGTATATCAAGATGCGAAGTAAAAAAAAGTAAATCAAAAGAGATCATAGACAACGAAAACTTAAAAAACTTTAAGAAACAAAATGTTACTGTATCAAACAAGTTCTGCAACTCGCTTTGAATTTATTAATGTAGTCTCTAAAACATTATTCCCAGTTCTTTAAACTTTGATGTTTTCAAACAGTGGTCTATAATTTTTATACATGCCAACATTAAAATGGCTGCCAGTCCGAAGCCTGGAAAATGTGTGACGAAAAAAATATAGTACCTACGTATTGAATAGCCGGAAACCAATTGGACCATGCGCTTCAATGACTCGGAAACCTCTTTATTAGTGAAATTCTTGCCTGGGAACCAATTTAACATCTCCGTTAGAGTCCATATCATAGAAAAATGGTACATTATGTCAGTAGAGCACAAAAAAATTTTCTACTCGTGGACCCAAAAGTTTTTGCAAGGGTGAAAAGTGTAGCCCAAAGGCGCAAAGCTACAGTCACACTTTGTGCCCATGGTAAGAAAAATTCTCTAGTTATTTGATATCAGCTCATTTGTGTGTAGTCATGTTAACTGAGTGTTTTTTTTTTAGTGATTTTTTTATCACTTTTAGTCGTTTGTCAGTCTTTTCGTGCACTAATTAACTAGGAAATAGACTTCACCCATAGCTACTGGCTTTTCAATCCGTCTCTCTACCACTCATTTGGGAGTATATTACAGATATTTTTATAGTAGTCTGATTTCTTAGGTTAACTTTAAGTTTATTTTGTATTACGTGTAAGGAACTAAGATAAGGGCTGGGAACTCATGTACACTTAGAAAATAATATTAACAATCCAGATATAAGAAGGATTTTTTCAACCCAAAAGATGTAAACGAAAAAATTTAAACCTTTTCCATAGTAGTTTGGATGTTGAATGAAAACATTCCGACATTAATTATGATTCCTGTAAATTGGTTTGATATAAACATTCTGGACTAATGACTGTGACATACAATTTTTTGATCAAATTAAGAAAAGTTTACAACTTTTACTCAATAAAAATGATTTTCTACTCAATTAAAAGTCTCAAAACACGATAAAACTAATGAGACTTTTTTATTTAACAAATCTGCTACATCAATTAAAATTCCAGGTAGAATNAAATTATTGCACATATATATTTTTAAATGGATTTCTTACACGAAGTTCTATGGATAAATTATCTGCTTTTCAATCCAACTTTTTTTTTTCAATATTTTTTTGTGGTTAAAGTGATTTTTTTAGTCAAGTTACATTCCCTGCCATGAAATTCATTACATTTATGATGAAGCGGTACTGCAGGATGCAAGCGTACTTGACAGGTGTGAGTGTGGCATAAAGATATCATATGCTGCCTCTGCATCGGCTTGGAGCTAATACTCTGTCCTTTTCTAACCATAAAATACAGTGTTTATAATTTATTATTTATTAAATAATAAAATACTGCTCTTCCTCATTCAAATGACAGTTGTAACACCTTTAATACATCTTAATGGGTGATTAAGAATATCGTTTTACAAAAAATATATCGATATTTACACATTGCCTGCAAAACAAGTACAACTTCATACTTTGATGCACAAGTTCTTACTTCTTTCTGATTTTTAATTTGTTTTAATCATAGAATCTTTTAGCTAGGCTTCAGTTTGCTGTAAATGTATGTTGTATTTTTTGTGAAACGCTTGCTCCTTCTTTTAAACTTAGTGTATGAGAAGAGCATATGGTCATTTATGCCATTTAAAATTTTCTTCCTAAAATTAACTCGAATATAATATATTATAACACCTTCATGTTAAATAATGTATGCTATAATATGTTTTGATATTTTCTTGGATTTTTTTTTAAATTGTATCATTAAGGAGATAAGTCTGTTCATCACGTGGAATAAGTGTTATGACATTTCTTCAGAAGTAATAAGAAATTTTTATGCTTTATCTTCTGTTTTCTATTACTGGGGAATTTTTATTCCTATATTTTTTTAACACATGGCAGAAGAGAGTGTGGCTAGCACATATTCCTAGAATTCGATATTAATATATTGCGTGCCTTGGCCAGAAAGTAAACTAGTCATCGCTTATGTGGATTATTGCTGGTCAAGCCGAAGAAGAGGCTGACAGACACTCAAGTGGTGGCAGTTTACTTTATGACCGAGGAGCTTACGCTTTTTTTGCTTGCACATACTTCAAAGATTGTGTTTTACTGAACTTGAAAATTGTAAGGTTATGTTGTACAGACGCAGAAAAAACAAACTTTTGGTAGGGACAGGCAAAAAGCACACTTTTTAAGTCTTTTTGTCACTTTATCGACTGGGGTAAGAAATTTCATGTACGTAACTTTGTTGACAAGGTATTCCGGCATTCCAAGAGTTTGCAACCTTTTATGCATCTATATTGTATCCTAGCAAAGTTTTTACTGTTTTTCCTGCGATTTTCAGCCATCATAGCATAACAATCTTGCTCTAGACACGCAAACCTTAAAATATTGATAGTCTTAATCACAAAAGCAAAAAAAGAACTACCTTAGCATTTTTTTACACCTTAAATGTGTAATAAGTATAGTCTTAATATATTATGTATAAAAAATTTTCAGAAAACTTCAGGAGATTATGAAAATACCGTTTATTATTTACATCACTATTACTCGAATGGTATAATTAGTATTTACGGGTTATTTCAAAAGCAATTTTAAAATGCATATTATTTATGCAAAACGCATGTTAGTGAATTCTTGTTTACTAATGGAGGTTACGAAATTTCCTGATGCTCTGGTGAATCGAACGCACAAAAACCCATAAATATTTATTTTATTGTATACGTTTTTCAACTTCAGCTGTCTTAAGTGCTTTATTTTCATACTGCTTGATCTTGTAACTCTATTTATCTGTACATCAAAAAAATTGACACTGTGGCGTAGCAGTGGATTTGCAGTTTCATCGATCACCAAAGTTGAGCAGCATTGGTAAGTTTAGTACTTGAATGGGTGACTGTTCGCGTCTCGCCGTCTTGCTTTTACTGCTTATTATCAAGGGTCGATTAACTGTTTCTCTTAGGCTTTTTTAACGTGATAGTGAAGTGTGCAGAGGTCAGTCCTGGTGTTTATACTGACTTGACACCCAGTTTGGACTTAAGTGACACACCGATTACTTGTGAGAGTCAGTCACCCCCATCCCCTCCCATCCCTCTTGCTTCCCTCCCCCATGTGCTGAGTGCTTGGAGTAGTATCTGTAGGACAGAGCTAGACGTATAGATCAGGTGCATAACCCGTGCTTCCAAGTCCATGTAAAATGTTATAGAAGAAAGAAAGTTAAAGTAGCCGTCACTGGAAAATCGACTCTCACAGCCAATAAGACACAATGTTAAAGTAACAAGTGCTAACCAGCCTTCCCCTCCAACCTCATGCACCCAGCAGATAGCACTATAAGATAACAAAAACTGCGTATAAAATTTCCTCTAGGAGCTTCAAATGTTTACCTTTATGTTTATTAAAAGGGAGATAGAGGGCACTCATGTCAAAGGGTCTACTCCTACAGTTTTTAAAATTTACGACCATGAATTCAAATATTTATTGAGCTAATGGCATTTAAGCAAAGTTGAAATTCATTCGATATCAATTTAAATATAGTCTGCTGCTGATTTTTAAACATTGGAGAGTTTACATAATTATTTTACCGTTATGAGACCTCTTAAATCATCTGTCAAAGTTGGCTTTGGTATAACTACAGACGTATGTGCTAAGCAAAATTGGCAGCTGTTTTCTCTATCAGAGTGACAAAAAAGATGATGCCAAGAATAATAATGCACAAATAGTTATAATGTAAAACAAATACTAGTGGTTGCAAACAAAATAAAATAAAAAAAAATTGATATTACACTAAGTCATCCTGTGCTTCTAAACAATTAGAAATATTTTCTTTTGCTGAAAATAGTACTGTTCTAACCAGTAACGGTAAAATTTTGCTTAACGTGCCTATCAACGAAAGACGTGATTTTAAAATCAATAAAGTACCCCAATCAAAAATAAAAATGAATAAAAAAGTATACACGATGTAGTAGAATATTTCTCTACGGTTCAACAGTCACTTGGGGGCATTATTCTAGTATGTAACATCAAAGTAATCACTGGTTCCCAGTTAATGAGAACAATGTCAAAAAAAATCATGGCCAAAATTTGCTATAAATACTTACATTTTTATTTTAAGGCAGGAAACATAAAGTATAAATTTTGCCGTGAAAGCCCACGTAAATATAAGTATGAATTAGATAATGCAAAAAATAACAATTTTTTTATATTCTTTAAGTCTTTTTGATCACATCTTATAAAAAACTTTTGC